CGTGCGCAGACAGACCGCGCAGCGCCAGTGGCCCAAGGCGAGCGTGACGAACGAGTGCTCGGCGAGGCGGAGGCGGCCCCCGCTGGCCTCGTCGCGGGCCACGCAGCCGCGGGCGCTGTCGAGCCTGTCGGCAGCCGCGGGGGCACCTGCCGCGGCCGCCCAGTGCGCGAGGTCGTCGGCCACGCGCCCGCTGCCTCCGACCCGCCAGAAGGCCAGGTCGTCGACCGCGACCGACGGGGCGATGCTCGGCGAGGCCCGCAGGAGGACGAGCTTCATGAGGAAGGTGGCCCACATGTCCCCAGCGAGGACCGTCTGCTGCACCTCGATGAGGTCTCAGACCGCGCCGTCGAGCTCCAGCGCCCGCGGCAACTGGTAGAGGGAGACCTGGAGCTCCATCGCCCAGACAGGGAAGTCGCGCTGCACGGCGGCGTCGACGAGGTGCTGGTGCCTCGGCTGCTCGAAGGCCTTCCGCAAGTCGAGGGCGACCGCCGCCGAGCTCCAGTCAAGGTCGGGCCCCTCGACGCGCTTGGCCTTGAGCCACTCGCCCCAGGCCAGCTGCTGCCAGGCCGCGCGCTCGCAGGCCTTGCCCGCGTAGGCCCGCCAGAAGGCGCCGGGGCGGGCCCTCTCCCAGGCGGCCGCGACGTCTCGCCGCAGGCGCCCGTGGGCGCGGGCCAGGGCGGCGAGGAGGGCGATGGGCCTTACACCTCCCTCCCTCTTGCCGATGAACACGAGCTTGCTGATGAAGGGGGGCCAGCAGCACCCCTGCTCGACCCTCAGGGGCAGGTCGATGATGGCCTCGACGCCGCCGCCGTCGCGGGCGCCGTCGCGGGCGTCGAAGTCGCGGGGGCAGAACGCGTCGAAGCTCGCGGCCGCGGCGGCGGCGAAGCTGCGGAAGACCTCGCGCGCGCGCGGGCGGCGGTAGGCCGCGGAGGCCGCCCGCCGAGGTCGGCGGGCCGACGTTCCAGCGGCGCAGCTCGACGCAGGCCCGCTGGTCGGCAGGGGCAGCGGCGGCCCGCCCTCGCCGCCCAGCGCATCGGCGGCCAGCGGGCGAGGGTGCCAAGGCATGGGCTCGCGCATGAAGGCGCGCAGCCCCTTGCCGCCCAGCGCGCGCCGCTTTTCGATCCAGTTGCCGAAGCGCTTCCTCGCCACCTTCACGGCGCCCTCGATGCACTGCTTGGAGACGGCGCCGGCAAGCTCCGCGAGGCACCCTGCTGATGGCACGTCGAAGGGGTCGAAGACGCTGCCGATGAGCGCCAGCGCCTTGCACGTGTCGAGCCGCTGCCCACGTCGGCTTTGGGCGGCAGCCTGGAGCTGAGCCCGCGCAGGCTGAGAAGCCCGTCGAGGCGCGCGCGCGGTGCTCAGCGAGGCGGCCCTGCGCGCCTCGAACATCCACTGGCAGATCCACTGCGTGCTGGAGCCCAGCTCGGGGTGCTTGGGGATGTTGGGCTTGCTGGCGAACGCCCGCTGCAGCGTGGGCGGCACCTCCCTGCCGCGGCAATTGCTGCCCCGTTCGCTGAGGCCGCGCCGATCGATCATGACCGCCTCAGTCATCCTGATGACCCCCTCCCAAGCCTCGTCCACAGAGGCAGCGCTGGTCATCCTGGAGCGGACGTCGGCCCAGGCTGGCTCGCAGCCCTGGGAGCAGCAGCCCGAGGGGGGCGGCCGCGGAAAAGACTTGGGCGCCCGCATGACCTGGATCCAGGGCTGGGCCTCCCGGGTGGCGACCTCGAGGAGAACTGGCCGACGCGGCCCGAAGTCCCAGTCGAGGAGAGCGGTGGCGGTGGCCGAGGCGAGGCACGGCGAGACCACGAAGAAGTCGATCGCGCGCTCCGAGGGCCCGATGGCGCCGACCGTCGGGCCGATGACCGCGCCGCTGATCTGCCCGGACCGCGTTGCCTCGGACAGCCTCTGCGGCGTCAGATCGAAGTCGCCGCCGACGACGAAGGGCAGGCCGAGGCTCTGCACGGCCGCCATCACCGCGTCCAGGATGAGGAGGCCGGCGGCCGAGAGGCCCTCGGCGGTGTGGAGGCGCACGTTGCCCTCTGATGACGCCGCTATGGCGCGCGATGGCAGCGCGGCCTGGGACGAGCACGCCGCTGCGCGGCCCGTCCACCTCGAAGCGCCCGAGGCTGCGGCGCCTGGGGGCGAGGCTGAACAGGCCTCCATGGCCTGGGCGGCCGCCGTCCGCGTCGGTGGCGGGGGCGGCGAGGGCCCGCCAGCCCTAGCGGCCCAGTCGAGCTGCAACCTCGGCAGCGCGATCGGTGGAGAGGCGAGTCTCCTGGGCGGCGACGAAATCGCACTGCCTGAGGTCCTCCTCGCACGGAAGCTGGCCCAGCGCGGCGAACGCGTTCGCATTCGAAGAGAGGCCGCGCGAGACGCTGCCGCTGGCCGGCTGCCCCCTAGCTCAGGGGGGCGGCCGGCGCTGCAGCCGCGGGGGGCGCTGCAACTGCCGCTGGGCCGTCGGCGGGGCCTGCGGGCCCAGGGCCGCCGCGAAACTTCTTGCCGCCGCGCTCGCGCATGAGGGCAAACGCGTCGCCGAGCCGCTTGCGCTCTTCACCGTCAGCAGCGAGAGCAAGAAGGATAGCAAGGTCGGCCGCAAACAGGACCGCCCTGAGGCGGATGGCGCCCACCTCGGGTTTGAACCCGACCTGCGCCGCTGCCGGTGGGACCACGGGCTGCTGCACCTGGGCAGCCGCCTCTCCTCCTGGCGGGCCCGCGTCGCCCATGGGCGCGTCGGCGGAGGCGGCAGCTGGCGGCGCGGCTGAGGCCATGGCGAAGGCCGCGGCCTGCTCGAGGAGTTCCTTGACGAAGGCCGCGGGGTCCTTGCCCGAGGTGATGGGGGCGGTGACTTTCTCGAGCAGTTCCGCCGCGGCGGGCCGGGCCGCGCCAGGGAAGGCCGCGGCGGCAGCCGCACGGGCCTCCTCGCGCGACTCGCGAAGGGCGCGGACGAGCGCCTGCTGGGCGTCCAGCTTGAACAGGCGTTCCGTGGGGTCGGCCGCCATGCGTTGCTCCTTGTCCTCCTCCGCCTTAAATTTCTTGCCGATGCGCTCGAACTCCGTGGTGGCCTCGCGGGCGGCGCAGAGACAGCTGGCACGGGCAGCCCTCCTGGCCTCGACCTTGTCGACCTGCGCCTGCGTGAAGACCTCCTTGGCGGCCTCTCACTTTGCGGCTGGCAACTCGACCGCGCGCTGGAGCTGCTTGTCGTCCACGCGCGGCGGGTGCCAAGCGTTGGTGGTGGGGCGCTGACCGTCGGCAGTCCGAGCCCACGGCGCCGAGGGTTTCCGACCTCCTTGGCCGCCGCTGCCCCCGCCAGAACCGCCGCCGTTGCCGCCCCGTCCGCGGCGGCGACCCTGCGACCAGTATCGCCAGGGCCGCCCCTGTTCGCAGAACGCGCACTTGGCCTGCCCCTGCGGGTTGAAGGCACCCACCGCACGTCCAGTAAAACATCGCTGGCCAGATGTTCTGGAGCAAAACTGGGGGGAGCGAGACCACTCGGCAGCGCGCAGCTCGACCGAGGCAACAACTGCAGGGTATGGCCGCGGACTGGCGGCATCCACGTCGCCTCGCGGGAACACGTGGCATCTTGAGCCAAAATGGCTACGGGCGCGACACGACCACGCCCGTGTGCCCCGCAGCGCCTGCGTACACTGCGGTGCTGGCGCGCACCACAAGGGCCGCGTGCACCACACCGCATGGCAAACATTTGCGCCACAGCGTGTCCGTGCACCTTCTAGGTCCCGCCGGGCCCCAACTCTGGGAAATCCCCGGGGGGCTCAAACAGATCAAGGTCAATATGTAACTTATTCGTGATTACTGATTTTTCTGGCCCGGGGTGCGGTCACTCTGTTCTCGGCCGACCATATATTTGTGTACACAACAACGCCTGTCGGGCGTGCGCCACGACGCCTTTGCACACCATAGATGCTTGTGTACACCGCAGCGCTTGTGTACGCAACAGTGTCTGTGTACACCACAATGCCTTTGTACACCACAACACCCGTGTGCACCGCAACGCCTGTGTACACCACACACACACACACACACAGACACACACGCACAGACACACACAACACACACACACACACACACACACGCACACACACACACACGCACACACACACACAAATACGCACACACACACACACACACGCACACACACACACATACACACACACACACACACACACACACACACACTGCATGTGAACACGACGACGCCTATGCGCACCACGGTTGCTGCTTCAGCACCATACTCTTGCACCACAACTCCAGTGCACCGAAGTACTTGTGTACACTAGAAAACTGCGCACATGTCCAAGGCCGACGGCAGGACCGAACTCCAAAAATCGTTGGGAATCCAAACGAATCAAATCCAACACGTCACCGATTTGTGATGATTGACTTCCCTTGCACACGGAACGGTCCCGTGTGTTGGGCCCGCAACGCCTGTATACACCATAGCGAACGCGTGCACAGCAGCGGATGTGCACACCGCAGCGCCTGTGTACAGTACACGGCGTGGTACACCGCAATGACAATGCACCACAGTGTTGCTTTACACCACTATGCCTGGGATGCCTGCGTGCATGATAACTGATGTTGCACCAACAGTTGCGCATGCCACAAAATCTGTTTTCATCATATTACCTGGGTGCATCACGATGCCCGCGTGCACCGCGCGCTGCGTGCAGTTATGCTTACATGCACCACAACGTCTGCGTACACAACATATGTTGCTGCAACAGCAACTAATGCGCGCACCAAATCGCCTCGCTGCCTGTGCACAACGCAATGCCTGTGTACGCGCTGCTCTCGTGCACGTCCAGATGCCATGGGCGACGTCGGTCGTCGTCGGTCGTCGGTCGTCGGTCGTCGCTGTCGTCGTTCGTCGTCGACCATCGTCATCTATCGTCTGTCGTCGTTTGTTGTCGTTTGTCGTCGTTTATCGTCGTCTGTCGTCTGTCGTCTGTCGTCGTCGTCGTCTCCCCGTGCCACTCCAAGCCCCAACGTTTCGCCAACGTGCATCCAAACACCGGCATGCTGTGGAGAACGCGAGTGCACCGCTGAACGCAACGTCCCCTGCAAGCTCCATGCGCCCACCCCGGACCTGCACAACCGGCTAAGTCAGGTTATCCTGGGGGGGGGGGGGGGGCGAGCCCGATCACCTGGGTTATCGCCAGACCCTGAAAAAAAACAGTATCCTGGTTATTGGCCTCATCCACTTTGAACGAAGCCTCCTTCGCCATCGCAATCGCATGCCTTGCCTACGCCATTGCACTTCACCCAACACTTGTAGAAGGTGCCCATGAATACGCCCTCGGGCATGTCGGGGGCCCCGCAACCGCTGGCATGGAAGAACAGGCCGTGCTCGGCTCCCTCGTTGAGTCGGCCAGGCAACCTCAACGATGGCAAAGTAAGGAGGTGCCGGGGCGTTCCCATGCCCGGCGTCCCCAGCATGCGTCAACGACGGGGCTGATCATGTTCAGTCTGGCCTGGCGCACGCTGGGTTCCTTCGCGCGAGAGAACCATGTGCAATGCGTAGAGATCCTCGATTATCGCACCAGGATCAACATTGCTGGCCCCGAGATCGATCTGAAATCTTCCCCGATCAGGCAAGGCGCCGCGGCCAGCGCCGCGGCCTATAGATCGTGGCGCTGCTCGGGCCCGCAGTCGTTCAAAGACTGCTTCTTGGACATCCACCACCGCGCCCCTGGCGCGAAGAGGAATGCCCCTAAGGCTCACGCAGCACTGAGAAGACTGCGATACTGCTGCTGCATCCTGGACTGTCAGTCGTTACGGGCCCGGCCCAGTCGTTTCCCGGGCCCCCCACCGAGCCCGCCGAAGTCGTTCGCGTCGGTCTGCCCCGCCCAGGAGGCTTCCCAAACGAACCAAGGCGGCTCCGCGCGGCCCCGGACTGGTCAACGAGAGCACCGCGTCGCCCCGGAATCGCTCCAAGACGCCCAAGATTGCCTCGCGAAGGCCCGAGAGGCCTCCGAGAAGACGCCGCGAGAAGCCTCCGATGGGGCCCCCCAGGGAAGCCCCAAGGCAAACGTCATTGATGTCCATGGAATGCTTGAAAGATCGCCCGCTCGGCTTCCCGGCGCCCCAAGGCGGCCGGGGAGGCCCCCGAGACCGCCCCGAGGCGACCCGAGAAGAAGGCCCAGAGGCGGCCTGAGAGCGCCCCAAGACGGCCCGAGAGGCGCGCGAGAAAGCCCGCGATAGCCCCGAGACGGCCCAACAAAATACCCCAGGAGAAGGAACGCAAAATGAACATCCGCCCCCCCCGCGAAGTTGCCCCCTGGAGGGCCCAGGAGACCGCGAGAGGTCACCAGGAGGCCAGAAAAAGGCACCGCGAGGCCCCGGCGAGCCCCATGCAACTCCCTAAGAAGCGTTAAAACCAGCCCCCAAAGGCGCCAAAACGGCCTCCACAAGGCGCCCCAGAAGCCCCTCGCGAAATCCCAACCACCACCCACTAGGCTGCATGCTCACAACCATGGCGCGGTGGCAGGATGGGCCGAACGAATTACATACTGGGTATGGCAGTCGAGGCGCGTCCGAGGCGGGCCCGGCCGCGTCGCCTCGATCGGCCCGCGAAGCAATCCCATTGCCCAGTCAGACCGCAGGGTCGCCGATCACCCAGACGAAGCAGACTTGCCTCCCCCGGGCTCAATGCATTCAGCGGGGCCCCCGCCGTCAGTGCGCCCAAGCGTAGCGGAGACATCGTAGCGCGTGGGCCAACTAAAGGGCCTGGCAAGGCTGCATTCGCCCGCGGTGAATTGTGGCCAGGCCCCCGCTCGTCGGAGCCCCTCGCGCGCGCTTCGCGCCCCCCAGTGGACCGAGATCGCGCCGCAGCACCTGCACACGGGGGGCCCGAAAAAAAGACGGGCAATTCGCTCGGAACTGCCCGGCACATTCGAAGCAGCCACGCCCGCCCTACAATGCTCGATCACATGGCAGAGCGTTCGCGGCCGCAAAGGCACGGGCCGGGTCGGCGCCCCCCTCTGCTGTCGCAAGGGAGAAATCGACGTCGCTCAAATAGGCCAGGCCCGAGTTGTCTCGACATGATTGGCGACGAGGCGCCGCGATCTCCAGCGCAATCGCGGCGCCGACAAGCGCGCGGCACAACTTTTAGAAGCGAATTCCGCGCTGAAGAATAGGCGACGGCCACTGCGACTGCATGGCGAGAAAGGTCGCACCATGCCCGGGCGGTTGGCCGCAATCTCGGCGGGCACCCGAAAAGGCACGCCGCGGCGATACTTAGCATGCGCCATGCACCGGTCGCAACCCGCCCTGCAAGATCAGGCGCCCCTCTGTCCTTCGGTCCGAGGCCGTATTCCACTATCCTCATTGGCGGCGGGCTGCCCCCGCGCCCAGTGCCGGCCCCGTTTCCATCAGAAGAGCGCCACGAACAAAATGGCGCACGCAATGAAGATCGGCTGCGCGACGCCCCTTCGACGCGCGGAAATTCGCGTCGCAAACGAGACCGGGATTGGGGCCAGTCGTTCTGCATCTGAGCTGGGGGGCAATGGCCCGCGCGCAACAAACTTTGAAAGAACAGGTTGACAGCTCGCAAGACGTCTGAATCACCTATGTCCACGAAGGTGGTCGCGATGCGTCGGTTTCCAGCAGGCGGCGATCCCCTCGCGAAGCCCGCCTCAGAAATGCCCCCGCCCTACCTTTCGAGAGTGCTGGAAGCCGTTCAATTCGCAGCAGAGAGTTGAGATGATGCTGAAAATGTGGGCACGTTAAGGTTCGTCGCGCGCGCAGATGCTCAGGATGTCCACGCAGTCACCATCGCCGTCACTACCGCGGAGATCTTCAGACAGGATTGTCGCACCTCCGGAGGGCAACGCATGTCCCCGAGCCGCTGAGATCACCCCCGCAATCATCGTTGCCGCACCATGTACCTGGGCATTCTCTTCGGCTTGATACCAGCACTCGCGCCACGTTTAGGCATTTTTTTCCCTGGCGCATGCGAGCGCCAGTGAAGAGCAATACCACGTTTCGGCGGACAGCGGGGTTTTGCGTGCTCACGCGCGCGGAGTAAGAGACGAGGCACGACCATCGGCCAGAGTCGAAGGAGGAGAGGGGATTCGGCATCTAGGACGATGTCCTGATGCTTCCTCTTTGGTCAACGAAGAATCGTCGGCATCATTCTTGTCCATCTCCGGGCAGCGCCAGCGCGCGACGACGCCCCTGACCCCCGGCGGGAGTTCCACGCCCCTATCGTCGCCTCTGGGGGCCTCCCTGACCCAGATGGCCTGGATGATCTGGTTGTGCTTCTCCGCTTTCAACGTCCTCGCCCCGGAGACCAGGGTGTAGCCGGGCGCCTTTAGGCCCGTCTCGATGGACGAGGCAGACCGACTAGCGTTGGAGTCGCCGCGCTCGTGCATGCCGAGGTCTGCACTGACGGCTGCTGCCAGAATCGTAGTTGGATGAGGTATCCCATCGCCTTGACAAGTACTCTATATCCATCGACTGCGTTGCTCCGATTTGCCTCGACCGCGAACCGCGCGGCACTCGACGCTGGAAGACCGCTTGCACGCACACGTTCGCGATGGTAGACCCCGCGCGGTCGCGATCTGAACCCGCGACCCGCGCGGCGCGTTGCCCGCGGACCTGGGCGAGGAGCGGCGCGATCTCATTGGCGCAATCGAAATTCAATCCCGAAGCGCGCAGCCGTTGACGCTTCGGCGGCAGATGACAGAAATAGCAAGATGGTTTACATTATAGAATGTCCACATTAATGTCCATGGCCCAACGCATCGCGCTCAACAGCTGAGGCGCGCGGAGGGCAAGGCGAGGTGCCCATGGCGAAGTCAAAGTCCCACGCCCCGCCAGAACGCGCCGGCGAAAGCCCCACCAGGCGCGGCAGCGAGGAAGCGGTCGAAACGTGGACAAACAACCGCAAACTTGCACTGAAGAGCGCGCTGGGCACGTCGGCGGCGCCGCGCGGCGGCGGCGGGGCGGGCGCCGCTCGAGACGCCGGCGGGGGCGGCCCACGCGGCGCGATCCACCCAGTCAACAACAGGGCCGAACGCTCGGGCTCGGGGAGCGCAGGGACTCAGAAGCCAAACGCAAACGCGACCGAGAAAAGCCGAATTGAGTGGACGGGATCAACGAGCTCATCCCACCGAGCGAGATAAAGTCCCCGAGCGGCCCCAGACCCGCAAGGTTGAAGGATCGCGCCTTATGGGCGCCATCGCGTCTGCTTTGGCATGGCGCACAGGGGCTACACCATCTGCGTCGCTTACTTTGGCTTCATCTTCAGATGACCTACCAGCATGCGGGGCGGCGCTCACAGCGACCCCAGAGTTGCCGACGACGTGCCAGACGGAGCTATCGAACGTCACGGAGCGCCACTCTCGCGGCGAACGCGCCGGCCAAGCATACTGCCACCAAGGGCTTTGCGCGGACCGCGCGCTTGGAACCTCGATGGACCTCCGCGCGCCGAACGACTCCAAGCAGACGGAGGTCAACATCGCGGAGGAGGAGCAGATGCGCGCGAAGAACCTCAAGAAGGGGTCGAAACCGCTACTTCTCGCGGGGAAGCGAGCGGCACTCGTCACAGAGCGAAGCGGTGTCGTGCCACATGAAGTCGGCCAGGCCTTACGTATTGATCTGGCCAGATCAACGACGACACCAAATGCCATGGGCAACGCCCCTGAGAGCATCCGCCACGAGTGGCGTTGCGATCCAGACAGCAAGCGCAGGAAGACATGGCGGGAGAAAGGAGGAGCTGCTGTCCGACGCGGGCCCCTAAGCTTCGACCTCTCCGAGCGCCAGGTGGTGGACAGGCTGGAGAAGAAGATTCGGAGTGTCCTACGCCAATGAAAGAGCGCGCGCGTCCACGCCGCCTCCCCTTGCGCGCCGTGGACGTCACTACGGCGACTAACACTGCACTTGGATCCGAACCACAAGTGCGAGCTGCCGAAGCAGCGGCGCAAGTCGGAGATCATGCCGTCGCTTTTCATGGACGCCACAGATCGCCCACGCAAGGCGTTCGGATCGCAGCTGGCTGCGTCATTCGAATGGCCGCGCCACTGCAACGGATGGGAGTCCACGCAGAACATCGCGTTCGCGAGCGTTCGACTTCAACGGCTGCGCCTTCGGATTGAAGAACATTTAGGCGTGCCAATCAAGAAGCCGCGGCGGATCGCGACTGACCACAACGGGTTCGACGACTCGCTGCGCTGGTTCTGCAGCAGAGATCACCAACATGTTGAAGCCCGAGGGCGCGACGCTAAGGTGGGCGAGAACTACGCGGAGCAGTTGGTCAAGACGCTCGCCAGCCAGTTGAGGATGCCCAACCCTGGGCTCAAGTGGTCAGTCCGAGAGGCGAACCCTACGTCGACGACGATGCGAAAGGCAGCAAGGAGGACCCCTCCTGCCCAAGCCGCCCCACAAGAGCAGCCAGTCACGGCAGAGGAAGAACGGGCGCTCAAGTCGGCCATCATGCAGATCCACGTCAATACGGGGCACCCGTCACATGATTCCCTTGCGAAGGCCATCGGCGCGATTGGCGGATCACAGCGAGCGGTCGAAATGGCGCTTGATCTTCATTGTAGAGCGTGCGCTGCTCATCAACGACAACTGACACACCTCCCAGGTCGTATCAAGTTGGACCGAGGTTTCAACGACTCCATCGGCGTGGATTTGCCCACCCTCGCCGACTACGCAGGGAACCAGCTAGTCTTCCTGAACGTGGTGGGCCTGGCATCAGGATT